TCTCTCTCTCTCTCTCTCTCTCTCTCTCTCTCTCTCTCTCTCTCTCTCTCTCTCTCTCTGTGTGTGTGTGTGTGTGTGTGTGTGTGTGTGTATGTCTCGAAGTACCGAAGGGTCTGTGCGTGTGTATCTCGAAGTACCAAAGGGTCTGTGCGTGTGTGAGCGGGTGTGTGCAGGTGTGTGCGGGTGTGAGAGTGTGCGTCTATCGCTGTTGTGTTGCTGTTGCCCTCGGAGTCTCTCGTGTCTTACGTGCGCTCTGTTCAACTCGCGTGTCGAATTGGGAATTACGTGCCCAAGGGCGCACAAGCGCGCACAAGCGCGCACTCCACGGGCGCCCAAGCCGAGCGGGCACTTGAAAAGCGCGGGGAACATCACGTGGCGCCCCCGCTTCGGAAATCCGCGCGTGTCCCAGCGTAGCCACGTGGCGACTGAAGGACGAAGAGCGTTTCCAGGAGACGCAGTCTTGGATGGCCACCTGTGAGACAGCAGGCAGCCGCACCTTCGTGCTACCTCTTTCTTCCGTGCTGCGCGGAGGGTGGGAGGGAGGAGGGGCGGAGGGGAGGAGGGAGGGAAGGATTTGGCCGCACACGTCCCCTGTTTCGGCGTGTTCCCCAGGCCAACCTCCGCACCTGGCCGTCATTATGTCCCAGTACGTGCTCCCGACTGTGGGTTACCCATTCGTTCCACCGACCTTCCGGTATCTCCCCTCCTCCCTTCCTCTCTCTCTTCTTTTTTTTTCCTTCCTCTCTCTCCACCTCACGAGGGAGAGATGTTTGTGGGCCAATGTGGCCAATGGGTGTAAAAGTAATTTCCTCCGGGTGAAAAAAAAAAAAAAAAGGGAATTTGTTCCAACCAGTAAATGTAAATCTCAATCCCAGGGTTGGGATGTGTCAGGGCAGCGGTCTTGTGTTGGCCATTCTGCTACTAGACCACAGTGTCCCAAGGCCTGCACCTAAGCTAGGTAATGGTCCCAGTAACAGTTTTCTTTCCTTTTGACTCCGGGTTGTTTGTGGAGGATTTCCCGGCCTCCATTTTGTGTGGGAATAAGAATGAGCAGAGTTTACTTGTAAAAATAAAAAAAATTAAAAAAATAAAAAAATAAAAAAAATCTCAATCTGAATCTCAACTCATCTCATCTCATCTCAACCTCAGTCTCATCTCGTCCCAACTCAATATACTTAGGGGATCGCCACACCAGCTCCGAAATGTGCAAAATGACAATGAACTTCCCCCTAGAAGATGGCCAGATGCACCCGCCACATTTTTGTCCTTTTCACATTTCGACAGTGGTGTGGCGAGGCCCTTATATAGGTCCTTGTGTGACGCCCCCGGGGCTAGGTCCCACTTGCACGAATTAAGAGATACTGACCGTAGATAGCAAAGATCAACGGCCCAAATCTCCTAATTTGCGCAAGTGGGACCTTGCCCCCGCACGGGCCCACGAGAAACCGCAGGCGGGAGAATGTGAGGACCGGTAGTCCACTTCGGTCGGGCCCGAACATGTTGATAACGGTCTCAGGGCATACTCACACTGGGACATTTTTACTTATTTCAGGACGTAATTGCGGTCAGATGCATCCAGGTCTGGCCGTAAAAGCGGTTCCATACATCTAGTGTGAGTATGCTCTCAGTCCATACATCTAGTCAATCCTAGAATTCAGATGGTTCTTATAAAGATGTTCTGTGATTAGGGTCTCATTTTACACAGGTTATAGAACAACTCCAAAAAGATTTTGGTGATTAGTTCATTGCTCTCTCTCTCTCTCTCTCTCTCTCTCTCTCTCTCTCTCTCTCTCTCTCTCTCTCTCTCTCTCTCTCTCTCTNCCCCCCCCCCCCCCCCCCCCCCAATCCCAGGACGCACCCCTTCCAGCCACTGCCCACCCCCCTCCAGCACGTCCCCCCAGCAATAAAATTTTGCGTTTGGGTTCGGTGTTTTTTGACCCGTGTTCAGGCTCGGTATTTTGCATTCGGGTTCGGTCACCGAACCCGAACACGGTGCTACGCAGGCCTAGGAGTTAATTAAATTTTGTCTTAGTTGAACTCAAGTTTGTTTTTTGAGTTCAAATTTGACTTAGTATAAATCTGGGAAGTCTCATTTTCTGAAGAGAGTGCTGCCAAAATTTTTACTTATTCAGAGAGTTAGACAGGAAGGAAGAGAATCAAAGAAAGAAAAGAAGATAAAAGGGGTAGGTTAATTCAGTTTGTTTCGGTTTTCTCTCTCTTTCCCTTTTTTTTTTTTTTTTTTTTATAAACAACTGGGTGCGTGAGTGTTTGGTGAGGGGTGGCTGTTCGGTCGGTTAGCCAGTTAGGCTTATTCGTAGTAGTCAATGGTAATTTGCGAGGCCTGGAACCTCTGCGTGACTGGGAGTAGACGTGAGGTCTGGGCCCGGGTCTTCAGATGCGGTAGGGGCCAAAAATTCTCAACTTGTCCCAGCAAGCCTATTTGTCTAACTTAGGCTATCCAAATTCCTAGGCAGAGAGAGAGGAGAAGAGAGAGAGAGRAAGARWGAGAGAGAGAGAGAGACGGAAAGAGAGAGGAAGGGAGAGAGGAAGGGAGAGAGGAAGAGAGAGAGAGAGGGGAAGAGGGAAGAGAGAGAGAGGAAAAGAGAGATAGAGAGAGAGAGGAGAAGGGAAGAGGGAGAGAAAGGAGAAGTCGGCAAGAGAGATGGCTGACAACATTTTTTTTTTTTTTTAATGGAAGCGAACGTAGTCTTCCTAATGAGGGCGGGAGAGAACAAAGATTAACGAAGAGATAAGTAGAGTCCTTTATTTGTTGGTTGTAATTCGTCTTATCCAACATAGCATGTTTGTAAGTTGTAACAGGCAATTATTTGAGCTGATTTCTGCCAAAATCTTTTTTTATTATTATTATTATTTTTTTATATAGAAAATTTGGTCAGTGATCCTAGCATCAGCATTTAGTAACTCAATTGCATGTCCACCTAGGTTGTTTTATCGGACGTCCGGGACCCCTGGGTTGTCCGACCGGACGTCTGGTCGGACGTCTGACCTGTCTCTTATACACATCTAGATGTGTATAAGAGACAGGTGTGTGTGTGTGTGTGTGTGTGTGTGTGTGTGTGTGTGTGTGCATTTTTAATGCCAAACAACAATTCACTACGTCTTTTAAATACAAAAAATACCAAAAAGGAAAAACACAGCCCTCAGGGCTGCATGCTCAGCATGCTATGGAATAATGAAAACCAAAATGTCTGTCCTTCTATATGCTTCAAAAGAAACTACAATTTTTTTGCCATGCCAACCAAAATCTGGGTAAATTTGCTCAAGGTGTGCATCTGACACATTGACAATATAGGCACTTCCTGGTATATAATACAAATTTCCATGTGAAAATCAATAAGAATACAACCACCACTTTCTTTCAGGCTATGACACAGATGCGGTTTTGTACCCTACGAAGATATCTTTCAGGCCCTCAAGCCGGGGTCCGCAACCCTTTTTCCAACCCAAAAGAAAAACCAACATCATTGATATTGGGGAATGGCCAAACTGAGGCTTTAGTCACGCCAGTACTTTCCATAATGTTTTTTTTTTTTTTTTCCCTTCTTCTTTTGGTTTCTTTCTTTGGGCCCTTACCGTGAGGCAGGGCCAGTGAGCACCCTCACCAAGGGCATACTCACACCAGTACTTCTTGAAACGTATCTCACCGCTATGACGGGCAAAGCATTGTTTAATTATTTTTCTTCTTACCCAAAAAAGAAATCAAAGCGCTTTGACTCCCAGGCCAAGCTCAATGAAAATCAGCGTGCAAGTAAATTCAGGGTTCCCAAAAAGAGGCTCGGAGGCACGGTGGTTAGCGCCCAACATTATTGCCGCATTTGAACTAGTGATTAATTTATACATGCAGTGAAAATGTGTGGACGTACCATTTACCTACAAGGCTAGGGTGTTTGTGAGAAACTACAAATTCCAACGTGCGATTTTCCTGACCTTACGTATAAGTTGAAATTCAAGGGAACGTATTTATAACTTGTTTTGTGTTCTTTTATTTGGGTTCATCCTTCGTTATTGATATTTTTTCTGAAGTGTTTCGGATCCGCATGCATTTGATCTTTCATACTACTTTGTGTACTTCAGATTTTAACATTGATTTTTTGCGACATAATAAGAGTGATTTTTTTGGAAGACATTCGTCTTCCATATTACAACGTACGCAACGAATAGAGACGCTACAAAGTTTTTTTCACTGATTTACCCAATATACTTTTATCGCATTCTTTCCTCGTCTTTTTTAATTTCGGTCACCTGCACATGTCTCCCTTGCTTACGTTTGTTACTTCTACCTCTACTTTTCTACTACCTTAGCTTTCT